GTTGTGCCTGGCGCGGTACCAGCCTTTGCCCTGGGGGCGAGAGGGTCTCAGAGCAAGGGAATGAAGGGAGGATCCTGCTGGGAAGGGGGAGGCTGGCTCCAGCAGCTCAGCTGATGGCACTAGGGTCCCATCCCCTCCATGCCCTCCTGCAGCAGCACGTCCCCCGAGCACCCACCGGGCTCACCTCCACAGCCTCAATGATGGTGACCACGTCGCCCTTGCGGAAGGCCAGCTCACGGGCCTTGGGCTTGGTGTGGTCATGCTTGGTGACGCACTGCGTCCCGGGGGGCCAGTGTTTCTGCAAGGGAGAAGGCAGCATCAGCAGGGACAGCAAGAGCTGGCCCCTCTTTGCCTCCCACAGCCGTTAGGGCCAGCCCCAAGGACCATCTGAAGCCCTGGCTGGGGACAAAGGGCACTGCGCATGAGCCCTGCTCCACACCACTGTGGTCCTGGGGGGGACATGTCACCCCGATGTCAGCAGGGGAAGTGCTGGCAGCACCCGCTCACCGCGGACATGGTCGGCTGTCAGTGCATCAGGGACTCCCTGTCCTCTCCTGCTGCCACCTGCAGAGAAGAAACCAAAGGGGGCTGTGGAGGGATGGGGCTGAGCTGGCCCGTCCTAGGCCACCAATGCTGTCCCCACAGGCTCCTCTGGCCAATATAGCTCTTTGCAAGCCTGTCCATCACCCGGGGCAGCCCCGCACCACAGGAAGGAGAAAAAGGCTTAGAGCAGGCTGCAAATCCTGCCTGCGCTGGATGTACCCCAGGGACACTCCTGTCCCAAACCCAGGTGGGAGCAGGACCCAACTGTCCTGGCCCCTGCCCCTTCTCCCTGCCTTGGAGTCCAAAGATGTGCTCCACCGCCCACCGGCGCTGCTGGCACCACAGGAGCTCATCGCCGTGGCTGCAGGGAGGAATGCGGTTTTACCAGGAACTTGTTTTTTCACCTCCTGTTTCAGCAGCTCCAAGTCATCAGGGCCATGAGAGGCTCCAGCCGCGGGGCCCCGCTGACGTGGGACGTGGCAGCGCTGACACAGGGTCTGCCCACTGCATGGGGGAGGATGCTGATGGGCAAGGCTGGGCCGAGACGGGATTGTCACATCCGCTGGCTGTGGGATGATCGCGCAAGGTCACTGTGCTGCCCCTGCCACCAACTTATGCTGGGATGCATAAGGTGACCACTTTCCAATTCAAAATTGCGGGTCTTCTCCTCCTGGAGCCCTTCATCCCCAGTGCCACCTCTGTGGGAGGATCATAGACTCATAGAATGGTTTGGGTTGGAAGGGACCTTTAAAGATCATCTAGTTCCAACCCCCTTGCCGTGGGCAGGGACATCTTTCACTAGATCACTTGCTCAGAGCCCTGACCTTAAGCATTTCTGGGGATGGGGCAAACACAGCTTCTCTGGGCAACCTTTCCAGTATCTCACCACTCTTATCATAAAACATTTCTTCCTTATGTCCAATGTAAATACACCCTCTTTCAGTTTAAAACCACTGCCCTTTGTCCTGTCACTATAAGCCTTGGTAAAAAGTCTTTCTCTGTCTTTCCTGTAAGCTGCCTTTATATATTGAAAGGCCGCAATAAGGTCTACCTGGAGCCTTCTCTTCTCCAGGCTGAACAACCCCAGCTCTCTCAGCCTTTCTTCATACGAAAGGTGTTCCATACCCCTGATCATTTTTGTGGCCCTCCTCTGGACCCGCTCCAACAGGTCCATGTCTGTCTTGTACTGAGGACTCCAGAGCTGGATGCAGTACTGCAGGTAGGGTTTCACCAGAGCAGAGCAGAGGGGCAGAATCACCTCCCTCAATGTGCTGGCCACGCTACTTGTGATGCAACCCGGGATACGATTGGCTTTCCGGGCTGCGAGCGCACATTGCTGGTTTATGCCCAGTTTGTCAACCACCAGTACCCTCCAGTCCTTCTCTGCAGGGCTGCTCTCAATCCATTCATCACCCAATCTGTACTGCTACTGGGGATTGCCCCAACCCAGGTGCAGGACCTTGCACTTGGCCTTGTTGAACTTCACGATGTTCACATGGGCCCACTCCTCCAGTCCACCAAGGTCCCTCTGGATGAGCATCCCCTCCCCCAAGTGAATCAACTGCACCACTCAGCTTGGTCTCATCTGCAGACTTGCTGAGGGTCCAGTCAATCTTACTATACACGCCACTGATGAAGATATTAAATAGTATTGGTCCCATTATGGGCCCTTGAGGGACACCACTTGTTACTGCTTTCTACTTGGACATTGAGCCATTGACTGTAACTCTTTGGATGTGGCCATTCAGCCAATTCTTTATCATCTAACAGTCCATCCTTAAACCCATCTCCCCAATTTAGAGGTAAGAATGTTGTGGGGGACCATATCAAAGGCCTTACAGAAGTCCAGGTAGATGACATCCATAGCTCTTCACTGGTCCATTGATGCAGTCACTCCAACGTAGAAGGCTACTAGATTAGTCAGGCACTAGGTTTGCCCTTGGTGAAGCCGTGTTGGCTGCCTCTAATCACCTCCCTGTCTTCCATTAATTTCGACATATCTTCCAGGAGGATCTGCTCCATGTTCTTATCAGGCAGTGAGGTAAGGCTGACTTGGTCGATAGTTCCCAGTGTCCTCCTTTCTACCCTTTTTAAAAATGGGTGTGATGTTTCCCTTTTTCCAGTCACTGGGAACTTTGCCTGACTGCCACAACTTTTCAAATATGTTGGAGAGTGGCTTGGCAACCCAATTCCCTCAGGACTCTGGGATGCATCTCGTCAGGTCCCATAGACTTATTGCATGTTCAGGTTCCTCAGGTGGTCACGAACCTGATCTTTTACAATTGGGAGGGACTTTGTTCCCCCAGTCCTTGCCTTGAGATTCAGGGGCTTGAGAGATGTGGGAAGTGAGATTACCATTGAAAACTGAGGCAAAAAAAAAAAAAAAAAAAAAAATTGTGTACCTCAGCCTTCCCCATGTTGGTTGTCACCAGCTCTCCCGTCTTATTTAAGGCGGGGGACACATTTTCTTCAATATTCCTTTTCTGGCCAATGTACCTGTACAGGCCTTTCTTATTATTCTTTGCATCCCTTGCCAAATTCCACTCCAACTGTGCCTTAGCTTTCCTGACCCCATCCCTACACATCCAGGCAGCATCCCTATATTCCTCCGAGGATTCACGTCTCTGGTTCCACTGCCTGTGCATTTTCTTCCTACACTTTGGTTTGACCAGGAGGTCCTCACTGAGCCATGCTGGTTTCCTGCCTTCCTTGCCTGATTTTTTTAACATACAGGAATTGAGAGCTCTTGCGCTCTAAGAAAAATGTCCTTAAAGAGCTATCAGCTCTGTTCAGCTCCTTTATCTCTGAGGGCAGTTTCCCTGAGGGTTCCATCCACTAATTCCTTGAACAACTGAAATTATGGATGGTGGGGCCAGTGGGCAAATCCTCTCCTGCTGCCTTAGCAGCACAGGGGGCTGGAGGGGGGACAGTCCACCCACTGGGGCGTTGACACCAAGCCTGTGTCCTCGGTGGCACTGCCTGGGCTGCCGTGCATCCCCATATCATGGCATCATCCCCAAACCCACCACACTCTTAAAAGTCAAGTCATGATTTCTATAGGTTTTGTTCTGATTCCCTTCCTCGAGATCCATTTTGCAGTTGAAATTTCTCTCTGTCACTGCATGGCAGACATTTTCTTTCCTTTTCTACAGGAAGGTGGGATTTCTCAGTGCTCGCAACTCACACCCTTCAGCTTTGCCAAAGATGCCATCTGATGAGACCCACGTTCCACGTAGGCAGATCTGCTTCGTGCCCACCTTGATCCTTCGTACCAGAGAACTAGATAGTGTGAAGCTATCCCAGTAGCTTGGTGCTCCTCTCTGTTTCCAAGACCTCAAAACAACCAGGGAAGCATCAGCTTCCAGAGAAGAGAAACGTCTGAGGAGGGGGAGAGGTGACTTCATTCATGCACTGGTTTTCTTGGTGCTCAGTGAACACGAGAGCCTGGGCAGGGCACTGCGGGGCTGGGACCCAGCGCTGACTGCACTGCTCTCGGGAAACCCCGCTGTTGGCCTCTTGGAAACTTCTAGCCAGAGCAGGACGATGTCTCTCCAGTTCTGCTGGGCTGGGAGAGGCGCGGGAGCCCACTCAGCTCCTTGGAGCAGAGACGACAATCTTTGCTCTATTCCTCTTTTGGAGGGTGAGTCACAGTCACTCCTCTGCATCACCGGTGGTAAACCCACCCTGTTTCCATGACGGTGAGGATCCGAGGACTTACCGTGCTAGTCCCTATCCAGAACAACAACAAAAAAGGGACAATTGCAGCTGCAAGGTTAGTATTAGCAGGCAGCAGTTTTATCTGTTCCAGAAGCCATTGTTACCTAGCACAGACATCCTCTCATCCTGCAGCCCATCTGCGCCATAAGTATTATCTTGGTGGACTTAGAGATGCAAAGGCAGCTGCTCCGTGCCTGTTCCCCAGCAGGGACAGCCAAAGTCTGACGTGACTGGATGCAGCTCAGCTTACTTCCAGGATGGGTGAGGACCTCACGGGCACAGAGCTTAAGGACAGGGTCCGCTCCATACCCCTTGCCGTGGTACAACCTGGTACAAGGAGGGACATGCTGGCTGAGCCAGGAAGGATGACAGTGGCTCTGACAGTTGGTCCTTCATTTTCTGCTGCTCCAGGACAGTAATTTCTTGTGAAAAGCAGCAACTATTTGCTCACTCCTGCCCCTGTGTGCAGACAGCGGGTGGTGCTTGGAAGGGACGGATCCTCCACTCTGAGAGCCCAAGGGCCCGGCTTCTCTTCTGCCCAGCTGGCACTAGGGCTCGGAGTGCCGGACATGCACCCCCACATGGGTACCTGCCGCTGGCAGAGCCTGGAGACTGGCCAGCGCCTCCACCCAGCCACCAGCGGGCAATGGCAGTGAATCACCTTCCTCCTGGTGCCACTCACATGCCTTGTCCTAAAGCAACTATTTGTTCTTGGAGATGTTTGGCCCATGTGGTTCCCACCACTGGAAAGAACATTCCCACAAGCAGGATGCGTGGGCAGAAAGCCTGGGAGGAGATATTTGCCCCCCTCTTTGCTTTGGAGCTGTTCTACCCTTTTTTTTAATCAGTTAACCTGAGTATTTGCAATGAGGATGAGAGTACAGAAACATGGTGGGGTTTGGTGGAGCCATCCCAACCCTGAACTGGAGAGTTCAGGCTTGTTTCCAGTGCACAGTTACCCCAACTGAGGAGCTGCCAGGACCCAACGGCACAGCGGCAGAAGAGGGGACATACGCATTGGCAGATTGCACCCCTGCATTGAAATCGGAGCCGGATGCATTGTGCACACACCTTTGAAACACAAGCTGGAGAACTTTTTTACAAACACCCGGACACACTAAGGGTCACTTGGAGAAACAGCAAGTACAGCTCTTCTGCTGGAAAAACAGGTGACACCTGGCCATTTTCCCCACTGACCACAACACTCTCAACACTACACCACTACGTCCATCCCTCCCCACTGACAGAGCAGACAT